CCCTCTTCTATAGTAAGAGACTATTTGATTTATGATCTACCCATGCCCAAGCATTATCTCTATCTCCAGTGTGTTGACTGTCAGGGTCTGTTCTTCATTTTTTTTTCCTTCTACATTCTTTCTTTATGACCTTTCTCCCTCTTTAAACAAGAATATGTTTTTATAAATAAGAGATAATTTGTTCATCATATTGAAGACAACCTTTATTTGTTCAGAAGACCGTGTAATTATTTGGGTGCTTATTGGGATCTTTGCCATGGTGCCCAATCAGGGCTATCTGAAAGGATGTTCAGACAAAAAAATAGGGGAATGAAAGAACATCTTCAAACCTGGGAGCTCTGATTGCCTACCCTACATGTGGGTGATGAATGGGGTTAAGCTTGTCTCAAAACTGCTCTGGAACAGCTGATGCACAAGATATGTGTGCACAAATAGTCTTTGTGTATATAACTTTGATTTATTTTAAAGAATGGAACAAAAATCAGGGAAAGGTTATATTTTTTGGTATCTTACATTCCTTAAGGCCCCTACTCTCTAATTATGGAATCCTGCTTTTTCTCATCTCTCATATTGCTGCTTCTTTGATAGGTGGCAGGATAGAACTGAGGACAGAATGTAGAAAGCTTATGGTGATGCACAAATGGTGGTGTGCAGTACTTAGTAAGCAAGAAATGATCTCATATAATCATCAAAACAATTCCATGGTTAGCTTATTATTCTGATTTTACAGGTAAGGAAACAGACTTGGAAGTGTTACATAATTATGCAAACTGTACCTTCCCTCATCCCTGTACCTCCTATATTAGTCAGTGTTCTCCAGAGAGACAGAACCGATCGGATGTTTTATTTGTTTGTTTATCCTGAGGAATTGGCTCAAGTGACCACAGAGGCTTAGAAGATCTGAGAGGTCAGCAAGCTGGATACTCAAGAAAGCCTATGATACAGTTTGTCTGATTCCCAAGGCCTGAGAAGAACCAACAGAGCTGACTGTGTAAGTTCCATTCCAAAGCGAGCAGGCTGGAGACCCAGCAAAAGTCTATGTTTCAGCCTGAAGCTGAAGCCAGAAGAGCCCAGTGTTCCAGCTCAACAATCAGGCAGGAGTTTTCTCTTACAAGCCTTTTTATTATGGTCAGGTCTTCAACTGATTGCATGAGCCCTACTCACATTAGGGAGAGCAATCTGATCTACTCAGTCTACTGATTCAAATGTTAATCTCATGCAAAAACACCCTTATAGATACATCCAAAACAATGTTTGACCAAATGCCTAGACATCCTGTGGTCCAGTCAAGTTGACACATAAAATTAACCATCATACCTCCAAACTGAAATTCCTAGCTTCTTTAAAGATATTTTAATAGTTGAAAAAGAAGCTTACATCTCCCTCTCATGCCCCTCTGGCAGTGTATGAGGTATATTAGAAAATAGATAACTACCAGTAGTCTAGATTGTGAACTGTGGGTAATACTGTATGTGTGTATGTGTGAGATTAATAAAATATGTGATATAAACATTGAGTTTAAAACAGGTTTTTATAGCATTTTGCACACTAAACTGCATGTATATCAAATGTAATTTGTCTTTCCAAATAAACCGACACCCATAGGTCTCCATGCCACCTGACTGCACAGATTTCTCTCTGAAGCAGCCTTAGGCACATTCTAAAATCTCAGTGAGCCAAGTGTTGTTGAAATTATTCTTCATACTATTTTTCCATCCAAGGAGTAAATATCAGAAGGGAAGACAATTTGCATGCTGCTTAAATGTCTGCCCAGTTTCACGGGATAAAGCCTCGGTGTTCCAAAAGGATGGATTTAGTATTGGAAAGGTATGTTTTTCAAGTTTCCTTCTGCTGAAAGTCATTGACCTGCATGTAAGAATGATTTTCATGGAGAAACACATACACACAGTACATATGCAAACATACACATACATACATGCAGACACACAGAACAATGAAAAATGAAAAGGGAAGGGAAAAATATGAGTTGAAAAGCAATGAACTTCCAGAACTTCTACTTCTCTTAGGCAATTTTCATGCCAATGGGAAAATAGAAAATGTGAATAAGATCTTGTTTTTTCACACCTGAGGGAAGATTCTATCTTTACCCCCAAATTCCAGTGTATTCTGTGAGAGCTGTCAATTAGGCAGGCTTTTTAACTGAGATGCTTAGCTCAACCATTCCTTTAGATGGAGAATGGCTTACTGTCACATGTATAAAAGAATCTCTCCTCCTCCCGCTATATCTTAAATCTTTTAGAAATCTTTAGCTTTATTATTTTAAAGTTATAACTGTTACCAAAAACTCAAACTATGTTTCTTTAGATAAAGGAACTCTTTAGTTCCATTTTGACAATTTCCTTTCTCATCATTGTAGCTGATTAGAAGTGCCCCAAGGGATTGTACTAATTTAATTCTTTTGTACAGAGAAGATATTGGCAGGATTCTTCCTTTCTGTTATTTTAATAGTTTCTAAATTTTACTTCTCCCTAAGCCTCCATTGGCCACCAGCCAGATTTAAGGCCAAGACTTCTCACCTATTTCCACACTGTTTAGACAGCTACCTCAGGCCCTCACCTATGTCTCTTAAGATGCCTTTATTAAATTGCTTTCATGTAATGAATGTGTGTATTTCATTTGATGATTTGTAATTAGTAGCTTAGTACTTTTAAGGGGTCTGTTTCTATGCATGCCTTTGTTGCTTATTCCTAAAAGGTCTCTCTTAGATGGGAGGTTCCAGGGGTTGACCTTGACTATTCATTTTGTACAATGGTTTTCTGGGATCCCTCCAATATTTCAACCACTTTATCAATTATAATAAAACAGAATTCTAAAAGAAAGCCTCCATTTAATAGACATTGGCCAGACTTAAAAACAAATATTTTAATATTGTATTTAACCACAAGATCATTTATAACTTGAATTAATTATTATCATGATTTATTGACATGATTCCCCTCAGTGTCAGGCAATGGCTTCAAGGACATCACAATGCATCTATTGCTTTTTGCTCACTGTAGCAGTTGTGCTCCAGCAATATTTCTACATGGGTGCATTGTCCCACTGGGTCCAGGTGTATGGAACTGGGGTACTCTGCAAAAAAATACTTCTGGTCTCCGTTTCTTCCTCACTGAGGTCTCAGTAACCTTAGGGTTTAACCACTAAGTCTGAGTAAGAAATGACTCTACTTGGTAATAATTTGTTTCCTTATTTTTCTTTGTAATAACATATAGATTATGTGTACACTATAATCTTGGTGGTTGGGGGCACAGAGGGAGATATTTCATTGTTACCTATTGGAAAAAGAATCAAGGTTGTCATTAAGTAAAGTGTATGACAACTACAGTACAGAGTAATAAAGCTAAATTGTTAACCCCATTAAAAGAGTTACTTTGGGAGGCTTCAAAATTCTCTCTGAGAATGCTGCTATTGCTAAAACGTATCTCTATTAACAGACATTTTTTCCAGTCATTTCCAAGGCAAATCCCTTTATTTAAAATTATATTTCCTTTAACCCTATTAACAATATTATTTAGTTTCAGAACTGATTATATTTATTTAACTAGCATCAAGATATTTGGTTGTTTCCCCAAATAAAAAACTCCCTCAAAGTTTGCTAATTTTTTTTTCACTCAGGATGTTCCAAAGAGTGCTGCACACTCTAAAGAGAATTTTTAAAAGATAAACTTCAAGAATGTTTTGGACAAAGAAAGGTTACTTGAATTAAAAACACGGTATACCAGGTGATCATATTGCCAGTGATAAACTAGGTTGGAAGTATGTGAGTTCCTATTTTAGTATTTAAAAAAAAATCACTCTGTATAATTGTGTACCTATGTGTGTGAAGACAAACAGATTGGTAGCCAGCACCTATAGGTGAGTCATGCATATGCACCCCATTTTTTTAATCTTGAAGAGTGTGGTTGCACATGTGACTTTCTCCATCCTGCCCCCCACTCATGGGGTGTTACAGGAAAATTCAAGATCTGAATATGAATGCATGGATTCTGTGCACTGTCTAAAAAGAAAATAAAATAAAATTGCCTCCAAACCCCTACCCATATCCCAGGGAAAATGTCCAGTAGGCTTCTGGGATAGCCTTCCTCTGGCTGGTATCATAAAGTGAGCACAAGCTTTCTTAAGGTATGAATGAAGTTAGTTTGGCTTAAGTAGGAACAAATGCAGTGAACCTTGAGCAATAGTATATCCTCTTCCTCTTTTACCTTTCTTTTTGGCAGGTTTTCATGGGAATCTGTATTTATTTGTTGAGGGCTGATCTCTGTGTTCGTAGTTAATTGAAAAGGATAAGTAGGCGGAAGAGGTTAGTCAAATTGGGCAGGAAAAGTTTCATTGACAAATGTGGGTGTGTCTAAAACAAAGTTTGATTTTTTAAAAAATTTGTGACTTAATGACCTTTCAAAATAGTTTTTAATCACATAGGTGTTTTAAAAAATCTAATAATAATATAATGATGATGCTAGTGATCATGGCTGAAAATATTAATCATTTTAAAAGCAGGTTGCTAGTTCATGGCTTTGTATTTCTTGCCTTGCATTTTCAAACCTTTTCACAGTCAGAGGACAGAATCCCATTTTAAACACAGAACAATTCTAAGGAGAAGGTGGGAGACCTATCAGTATTCCTTGACTATAGAATGCAACTGAGGCACAAAATCTCAAAGACTTGCCCAAGATTGCACATCTGATGGCATACAACTGGGAGCAAGTCATCACATTCTAAATCACATTTCTGTTCTCTTAAGATAGAGGTTATCTAGCATGCTTTGTCAAGTGGAATTTTCTAAGTGACTCTGGTCTGCACACAAATGCACCACGTCAAGTCAATGACGTGTCTCTCTTTTAAAGCAAAATATTATCCCTCCCAGTTGTCCCCATGTGCGTAGATGGTGGCAAATTATTGTTTGCCAAGCCTTCTATCACCTCTCTTTCTGTGTTACATTGAGATCATGGAAATGCAAAGTAAATAACCATGGAGTAAAATGCCTCTGAGAGTATTTATTTAAGAGTATTGTTCCAGGATATGCACAAAGATAAAGACTCTGTGTAATGAATGAGTGACTCCTGAGGCCAAATACCAAGAAGTTATATTCTGTACCCAGTGTGTCTCAGCCAGGGTGAGGTTGCTGCAGGTTCCCTTAGGACATGTCCTTAAAAAAGGGTCATTTTGCCAGGGTAAAAACCTGTCCTTTGAATCCACAGGGGCAGGCAGAAACTCAAGGAGAGGAGCATAGGAAAAATTCTGGGCCATTGTCAGTTTGTCAAAATGTCAAGGTGGGAAAGAGGCAAACTAAAGTTGGTTCAAAGGGGAGGGACAGACAGACTGTGGCATGGAGTGTGGCTTGCTACAGGCAACATGTAGGGTGTCACACATCAGAGAAGGCTGTCCTGGAAGCGCAGGCTTGGGGCAGCTTGGGCAGAGTTGTGGAACTGGAAACGTGGCAGCAGGGAGCTTTCTTTTCAGTTCTTCAAGGGTCAAAGAAGAAATAGTAGCTTTGCTTTTGGTGTCATGTAACCTCTATATGAAAAGCAGGAAAACCATTGTTATTTTGGAACCCAGTGCAATAGGTTTCAACATCACCCATTCCCTATAGATACAGAAACAAAGAAAGAAAGAAAAACCACTGATAGCCTAATTTGGAATAAAACACAAAGTAGGAAGCACACAAAAATCTTTGCATATTTAATGATTATTGATTTTTTAAATTGGTTTTAAAATAAAAGCTTTCTGGATGAAATACAGATTTGAAAGGACTATTAGAAAGTGCGACTTAAGCATGCCACTTATTTCACATTAAGTCTTTGCCTTTATGCATTAAGCTCTACCATTCCCCCTAATTTTCCATAAACATATATCTTTAGTAAAAATTGTTTTATCATGAAAAATGCCATCGATGCAATCTGATGGTGTAATGAACAGATTTTTTTTTATAGACAGACCTTTTATTCACCAATCACATATGATGAAGTAGGCTGCAAGGTGTTTCTGAAAAAACAAAACAAAACAAAACAATTGAACCCACAATTGGACAAGACAGATGCTGTCTTCTTCAGGGAGCTGGGCTTATTGTTTTACATAATAAGAACATAAAGAATTAGATTTTATTGATATGGGAACACATTTTATTGCTTTCTCTGGTTTAACATCTTTACCAAATGCAGTGGATTAGACTCCCCATTTCATTAAAGCAAGATTACTGGTCATATTTCATTATCACTGCTCTGATTCTTGGGGAAAATAATCTTCCACATAGCTTTCTGTTACTCAATTATTACAGTGGGTTGTGATCTTAAAATTTATATGGAACTCTCATTGTAGAAGTACACAGAGAGCACACTCTTTGGAGAAACTAAAGGTTGTCTTTTTCTTTTTTTATTAGATACCATAGTAGGAGAAACTCTTATAGCTCACATGTGATTTTAGAGATTTTTCTGTTAATCACACACTATATGATTGTTCATATCTGGTGTACACTGACTCTCAGGTCAGTTGGATTTCAAAGAAATACCCACTTCATAGATAGAAATATGGATTACGTCAGCATCAGTAACACTCCCAGGAAGATAAAATGTGTGAGTTGAAAATCTAAGAGAAAAATTTGAGTTACTCCTAACTTCTCATCAGCTACTCATCCCAAGACAGTTAAGAAATGCCATGAGGGCACAACCAAAGTTTTTGCTAATCGATATCAAATATAGTCTTTTCCATTTCTCCTCTCTTGTAATGGACCCAAGAAAATCCTTTGTTTGTCTCTCTCCCAAATGTTCTGTCCCACTTGGATGCTCGCCTGCTTCCAACAGATGATCCCTCACCTGCATCATTGGCCCCATAGCTGCTGGCAAACACTGGCTGGTCCAGGCCACCCACACATCTACAGACTTTGATGCCAGGGAACCTGGGAACACTCTGACTCACTTTGTCCCTCATTCTGCCTAAACAGAGAAAGGAAACACTTACCCAGCAGCCAGTATCTGTAGGAGATGCTTGCAAAAGGCACAGAATCTACTGCACAGGGGTGCTGAGGATGAAAAAAGGCATCATGTGTACAATGCTAGAACAGTCCCTTCTACCTGGAGAGGACACAGCGTATGCCAACCATGATTTCCCTTATTAGTAGAATATTTATATTCATCTCCAATGCATGGGTTCTCCAGAGTGAAGTCTCAAGGGAATCTTCACAAACACTAAGTCCAAGTGTGTTGTCACACATTGCTCTTCAGCTGAGGTGGGAACTGAACAGGTTTAAAACCTCCCATATGGTTGAGATAAAACAGGCAGGGTTGAGAACCCACTGATGGTTCCCTAATTTTTGAAGGAGATCCAAGAGGCCTAAGGAGATTTAGCCATTTGTTCAAAGTCACACAGCTGAGTGTGGGAGCTATGATTACAATCCTAGGTTTTCTGAGCTCAAAGTCAATACCATTCAGATAATCGCTCCCAGTGCTGGCTGAGTATTCAAATCATCCAGCATGATTTTACAAGGACTAATGCCAGGATCCCCTCCAATGGAAGATATTCTTATTTCCAAAGTTTACAGAAGAATCCAATGTGAAAACTGGTTTTGAAAACAACTTCACTAACCTGAAAGTTAACCACCTGCGCCAAAATCTCCTGGGGTATGGGTTAGGTGCCAAGGATCTGAATCAAAAATCTAGATAAAGTGTTCCTGGTATTTTTTTTACACACAGAATTTTGGGAACTAGTGGCCTACACTATACACACAAGTGTTTACATTTAGGTAGATTTCTCTCTGCCTCTCTCTCCCCTCTTTGCTCTTCCCTACATGGCTTCCCCTCTTCTCTCTTCCTTACTACCTTCTCTTGCAGTTCTTATTGCAATAATACTAATTTCTAAATTATATTTTACTTGATCTTTGTAGCCTTCAAGTATTTTTTTAGTTAATAGCTGTATATAGAAAAAAATTGTAACACACACACATACCTACATACATGTCATTTGCAGTTTGCCTGTGGATTAAAAGAAAATGAATCTAGCTTCTTAGGATAAAGTTATTTTTAGACACAGTCTTATCCTTTATTCCTTAGCAAGTAGAATTATATATATATTTAAAATTTATTTTATTTATAATTTAGATTAACTTGGTTCTATCCTTCCTTTTCTTGACAGGGTAAAATGGTATGGTATTTTTTAAATTAACATTTCCTGAATCTATTGATACAGAGAACAGAGAAAAACAAAATACAAAATGTAGACAGAAGAAAAGATGAAACTGCAGAAGATAAAAGGACAGACTGAAGATAATAAACCAATTACTAGAAGGGACAGAGTAGAGGACAGTTAAAAAAGAAGGGAGATAGAAGGGGATGTGGAGTTAGAGAAAAATCTAGAAGAAATTCAGTAGAAAAGAGAGGAGAAACCACATGGAATTTTTTTTCAGAGTTTTATCAAGTTTTTGTTTATTTGATCCTCAAACACTCCTTTGAAGGAAGTAGAACATTTGCCAACAAACTCATGAAGCCCATGAGAACTTTAAGGTTCAAAGAGGTCAAGGACCTTCCTATGGTCCAATGCTAGGAGGTGCCAGGAGGTAGTGGTGAGAAACTAGAACCCTGGTTTTCTAATTATTCTTTCAGTTTTGCTTTCTGTTCAACTAATCTTACAAAAAAATTTTTATACCCTTTCTCCCTATACCTCACCCCTCTGGCAAACATCATCCTCCTTCTAGGTGGTGGGGCTGCAGGAAATAGATGGAAGATGTAAAGGTGGAGCAGAACCAGGGCCCAGAGCTTCACCTTGAACTTCAGCTTAATGGTCTGCACCTGCCTTGTCACATCAGGGAAATCCTAACTCAGGGCACAAGTCAAATATGTTTTTGGTTTTTTAGTTTTCCTTCTCTTGCATAACTCAGGCCAAAACTCAAGTTACAATCAGATGTGAAGGCTTAGTTTCAAGGTGACTGGAATTTCCTTCCTGGGTAGTTCAGATGTCCAGGAGGCCAATGACTGTGGGTGCCCTGACTGCCATGGCAGTACTAGATTTGCATAGTTCTGGGGAGATACCATTCATGCTCAGGATGACAGCTCACATGGAGTCCACAGTGAGCCAAATGACACAATAGAACATTAGTATAGTATACTTTATAACTTGCCAGCAATATATGCCTTTTCTTTTTCATGCTTGGAGGAATGGGTGTTTTAAATTTCTTGTTCCTTATTTCTCCTCCACTGCCTAGAAGTACACAGGGATTTTCTATCTCCAATTGATTTGTGTGGCACTCTGCCTAGAGTTGTTTTTTCCCTACATTGAGAAATGTGGGAACTCATTCTTTTGTAATTGAACTTGAAGACATAGTCACCTGTATTCAGAGCTCAGAGTAGGTGGAAGTCTGGGAAATAAGCTAGACATTGACTTTTTTGTACTATTATTAATAATTTTTAAATGATTTTTAAAAATGGAAGTAAAGTTGATATATAATGTTATATTAGTTTCAGGTGTACAACATAGTGCTTTTACAATTATACACATTACCATGTGATCACCACTATGTATCTAATAACCATCTATCACTGTACAAAGTGATTATGATATTATTGACTATATTACCTGTGGTATTTGTGGTATTCATTAGATCTCCTTGACTTATTTATTTTATAACTGGAAGTTTGTACATCTTGTTTCTCTTTACTTTTTATAGCCTTTCTGCCTAACCCCCTCCCTTCTGGCAGCCATCAGTTTGTTCTCTCTGTATATGAAGCTCTTTCTGTTTTGTTTTGTTTGTTCAGTTTTTAAAGATTCCACATATGGTAGAATTATATGGTGTCTGTCTTTTTCTGTCTGACTTATTTTACTTAGCATATACCCTCTAGGTGCACCCATGTTGTCACAAATGGCAAGATTTCATTCTTTTTTATTGCTGAATAATATTCCATTGTATGTATATATATTTGCCGCATCTTCTCCATTCATTCTTCTGTCTATGGACACCTAGGTTATTTCCATATCCTGGCTGTTGTAAAAAGATGGACATTAATTTTAATCCAATGGTGCAGAAGGCAAAGATTCTAGGTAGAGAACCAGCATGGAGCAAGGGATAAAATTAAGTGGAAAGAGTGTAAAGCTTATGGCAATTTGGGAAAAATAGGAAAAGTATATAATTATCTTGGATAAAATTTTCCAAGTTTGATGCATTGTTAAGTCCAGAGACCTTAGATACACACAGAAGAAATACCTCTCACCTCCTCCCGGTTTGTATGATTTAACAGCTTCCATTAATTGTCACTAGGTTATTTTACATGCCTGCATTTTCCTATGCTAAAAATGGTGCATTGATGGAAAAAACCATCACACGATTATCATGTTTTCCTCTACTTATCTCTAATGCATGTTTTAGGAGCCAAAGTTGTGTCATCTGAGCAACAACAGGAGTAAAAACAGGGGCACAAAGATCCTGCTGTGTGTGCAATTCTTAGAAATCTGTTTTCCTGAACAAACAAGTTAGTTGAAAGAACAAAGTCTGAAAGTGAATCATAAACTCTTGTTTTGTTAGAACAGAAACTGTTTTTGAAAACATCCCTGTTGGATTTGGGGGCACATATGAGCAATGGGGACCAGAAATTAACTATAAATTTCCAAGAAAGAGCTAGAACAACTGGAAAATCTGTTCTGTCTTTTCTTTCTTTTTCTTTTTCAACAATTCAAAGGCAAGATAACACAAATTTTCAACACATTGAAAACATTGTACACTGTTTAAGGCTTCAAGTAAACAGATTTTGTGAACTCTCACATAAGTGAATTTAATAAATGGAAAAATCATCCTTAATATAAAAAGCTTTGTCAAGGCCCAAAATGAATTTTAAACTTGGCTGCTTAGGGACTAATGTAAGCCATTGGTGATGACATTAAAAAAAAGCCCTATGGCATTTGAATGATTTAAAATTATGTAGCTGAAAGAATTCCTCTAAATTGTATTATTTTCACTACTGGATGTTGGTATTGTTCTTTTCACTAGGAAAGCAAACAATACTAAATTTAAAAATACAAATACTTTACATTGAGGCAATTTAAGTGCTTTTTTCTCAGAACATTACCATATCTATTGGGAAAGCTTTGGAAATCTGAATGAAATGTATATGGCTACACAGAATGATTTGTTTAAATCATTCAAATACTATTTGAAATTTCTCTTTAAATTACAATCTGGGGTTTAAGCCTAATGAGGTTTTTAATTATACACATATGATGCTTTGGAGATATTTGTCCATTCATAAAACTTGATTGACTTTGGAAATGTCCAACAAGACTTAATCAAACAAAAATAAAATATCAACTGATGCTTTTTTAAAATTATTTCAAGGGAAAAATCAAGAGGATTTTCCTGAATTATAAAATAAATAAGTTAATAGAAGTTCCCCACTTTTGGATAATACATAAACACCCTAGTAACTTTGTTTTGGAAATCCCTGAATTGAGCTCTGTATTCAGCTCCATTTGCTTCTGACACCTCTGTGACTAATAATCAACAAAATTGAATGGCTATAAATTTACAAAAGAATGAATTTTATTCTTTGATTATCTGTGATTTTTTCATTGACTTACAAAATACTTGATAAATGTTCCTTGTCATTTTCATGTCTGACCATATTTAAATATCAAGGGTATAAAACTATAATGTTAGTTCTATGCATGCTGAGTTTTCAAACAAAGTTATTTTATTAGTTTCTCAGTTAGTTTGTCATGAACTATCAGTGTGAGCATTGGCAAACCATTACTTTTGCTTCATATTATTGAGTGCCCACAATGTTCCAGAGAATGGTTGGTGGGCACTGCTAGCCTCCTGGTTAGCATTCAGTGATCACCTGTTCTCTGCACTGCCTGGTGCTGGCTCTTGGGCACAGAGTCCCTTTGAACATTCCGTTTAGGTGTGGCATGAATGTGATTTTGTTTACAGGGCAATGGTCCTCCTGGTTACACTCTGCCAGGAATTGAGGCTCTTTCCCAGAAATAATACTTTTCCAAAGGGTAGATAAATATCCCCTCCCATTGTATGGAGAGTTAATAAGATAACCACAAACTGCAGGCACACACCCAAGGACAGCGTTGAGTGTGAAAGCTTGAAACACGATTCTGTCACAAGGAAGACTGATGGCATGCCGGACACCAGATAGATGACGGGGCAGAGAAGCCCACAGACCAGAGTGTCAGCCATGAGTGAGCTGCAGAATCAGAAAGAGCAAGAAGGCAGACACTTCCCAGGCACCTAAGTTATACACAGGAGAGGTTAAGAAGAGTTGAAGAGAAAACCGAGAACAGGATCTATTTATAAGGAGTGGCAGAAAGGTAAGAAAGTCATGCACACATTTATCAGTTGACATGTTGAGGCGTAATGACAGAGACTAGAGATGGTGTAGTTAATAAAATAAGGTCTGTGTACTGAGGACACAACCCAGAGGAGACAAATATGCAGACAGTCAGCATGTGAGGCAAACAATTGCACTTCACTGAAGGTTTGAGCAGAAACCTGGGGCAGCACCAAGGAAGGGAATGGCTAACTCTGTCCTGGGGATGTGGGGAGTCTCTGCTGAGGAGAACAATTTCAGTTCAGTCATTGGGAATGATATATGATTTTTCTAGGTGTAAATTTAACAGTTAAGTGTATACTTTCCTTTCACTGACATAAATCAATGAAAAGAAAATACCCAGCTGAAGCATTGTGAGAATTTCAGCATGACTGGAGAAAGGCATTATGTGAGGAAAAAATGAGGGATGGGGTGGGAAGGGCTGGGGCTGGAGGGATGAAATTCACAGGGGAGTTTTGAACAAGGCTATAAATAATAAAATGAATTCCTGTGGCATTTAGATTGGTCTCTGAGGAACATTTGGGGGTTGTGTGTGTGCACACATGCTCAATGCATATATGTGGTTGTATAGATGCTTATTTCATTGACTGAGGACGAGAACAGAGATGAAAGGCCAGGCTCTGAAGGAATGATAATGATCTTAATCTTGGTAATTTTCCACTTAAAATGCTGTAGGACCTCCATGGAGAGATGACCAGAATGCTGATGGAATTATTGTAAAGTGTAAGGAAATCTTTAACAAAATAAAACCCAGAAACCTCCAGGTTGGCAATGGCAACCTGTGTCTACCTAATCACTTCCCAAGGGCCCCACCTCCTATTACCATTGCATTGCTGTTGGATTCCAGTGTAAAATTTGGGAGGGACACAAACATTCAAACCATAGTAGTTTGATTTGATCCATATCGCTTAAGGATTGAGACATGGTATGCAGGCTGGTGTCAGGGGTGAGTCTAGATGAATGAGTGCACTTTTCCACCAGAAATGATACTGATATCAGATTATTTGGCTTGTTTCTAGGGAATTACCAGAGAGGGATTTTGAAGAGCCCATTATCTGCTGAACTTTTCAATGAGAATAAAATTATATTGCTGAAAAAACTACCAGGCCTCCCACAATTTTGACTACCATTTCTTGGCTCAGTGGTTATATATTTGAGTATATAGGTAAACCAGAACAGAATTAATCTAAACAGTTATAACCCACACAGAAATAGTACCAAAGTACTAAGAACCCCATCTTATTTTCCTATTTTCATAGAAAGACACTAGGTTGTCAAAGGCAAGGCATACTGAATATTTAGACCTTAGAAATTTAATATTGGGAAGTAAAGAATAAGGGGAAATAAAGTTCCTTCAAAGAGACATCAGAGAGACACTCAAGGCATCAGTCCTATCACAGAGTAAAGTACCTGGCACATAGTACATGTTCAATGAACAAAGATATATATGTATATGAAGGTATCCAGCCATGCAATATGAAAAATAGAGGCATTTGTTGAAGAAGATACAAGATACAAGAAACATTGTACATGGAACAATGATACCTCAGTTGCCTTCAAAATATGCACCTTGGGACACAGTTTTCCTTATCAACATCAGCTGCCCCTTCACAGTCTCATTGATGGTCTGAAATCTCTTCCCTTTCAAAGGTGATACCAGTTTTGGGAATATATAGATGTCACAGGGAACCAAATCTGGGCTGAAGGGGAACTGAGTCACCTGGGTGATTTAATGTTTCAACAAAAAACTACATGAGACATGATATATGAATTGGCACACTGTCGCGATGAAGCTGCTAGTCACCCATTGCCCATAACTGTGGCCTTCTGAATCATCTGAATATTTCCAATGGACAAATAAATGTTCAAGCTTAATGCAAAATCTGATGCCCATTTGTTGCTGTACTTGCTCAATCATTTTGAACTGGAGGGTCACACAGTATACACGCTCAGTCAGTGATATCTACTTCCCTCACTGACTAGTACAGTGAAGTTATAATGTGCCATTGTTCACACATGTGCACTCCTGTCTACTCTCCTTGGCTGCCAGGTTACATTGATGTCCTGCTAACTGTTCTCATTATATTAACAATGGCTGGGCTTTTTCCTGACAGACTTCTGAGGGTAGACCCCTCCACCCCCAGAAAAACCCTGGAATTATCTTTTAGAGGGCTTGCCCCTCATAGTACGGGCTTCCCTTGATAGGTGAGTCTACTAGGACCTATCTGTATCAGTGTACCAGCTGATGTTGTTGTGAAAGGCTGAATTCAGTGAATTTTTTTGAAGACTCTTTCAAGGTGTTTGTTCCTTTTATGATGCAGCCTAATGAACACACCTGTCCACATTGTACTGAGTGTTCAGCAGTTTTTGACCCAAACTATCATGACCCCCATACCCTACCTTCTCTATTCACCCATTCTCACCCTGAGTGACTTTTTGTTTCTCCAGATGACAAAATTCCTCAAAGAAAAATGTTTTGCTGATGTGGAAGAGGAGAAAACAAAAATGGGAGAAGCACTAAAAGTCATCAAAATCAACAAGTTCAAAAATTGTTATGAGCAGTGAAAAAATGTCTTAATGGTTATATTGCATCAAAATGGAGAGTACTTTGAATGTGATGGAAGTTAAACATGTACAAATAAATACACAATTTTTTATAACTAAATTCCAATTTTTTTATTCATACATGAGTACAAACACATGGAATAACCAGAACAACTAAATTCTGAAAAGAGCTTGAAATCTAACTTGACATTAAAGGTGAAATGAGAACTTATGTACCTAGGGCAATTTGGCAACTCTCAAAGTAGCTATGTGACAAGTGTTTTATTTGGACCAATGTTGAAGAATCCAATCTTTAGTTACTGCTACTAAGAGGCCACTAAATTCCTAAAATTTGAGAGGAAGTAAATGATGCATTAATTTTTTCCTTTTTTCTGCATCTTTTAGGAGTATTTAGCTGTCATCCATCTTTCTCTCTCTCTCTCTCTCTCTCTCTCTCTCTCTCTATCTAGATATACATAGATGACATAGACTATATATATAATATATATATATATAATATATAGGCTATATATTAAATACTGTCTTGATTCTATAAGTAGCATGTTCCAAAATTCAAAAGCAAAAAAGAGAGGGATCATTACTATCGTATTTGATCCTCATCAGTTTAAAGCAGTGAAAAAATTGCCTAGATTTGCCAGTGACTAAGATGTTTCTGGGTCTCACAATTGTCCCTTTTATGGGTTTCAGATCATAATGATTCTACTTTGTACACTGGCCTTGGAAGTTGCATACCCATTTACAAAAGAACTTTGTTAACTACAAACCAGCAGTAGATTGGGAAAAAGAGAATTCAAATTTTGATTTTAAAAACATCAAAATGGGCATGCCTAGATGACCAAAACTCATTAAAATTAACTAAGGGATTACCCTTAGTTAATGGTGTTAAGCTTTAAAAAGACAACTATCAATTGACCATAATAAGATGGGGGCATAGGTAAACGGGGCTTGCCTTCTCACACAACAACATTGAAATTACAACTACACTATAGAACAACCATCATTCAGAACTGTCAGAAATTGAGCTGATAGAAGTCCTACAACTACAGAATTAAAGAAGAAACCACATCGAGACTGGTGGGAGGGGCACGGACACAGATCAGACTGGTTCTAATCTCACATGTGGCAGATAAAAATCAGTAGGGATATATCAGGAGCAAAGGGTCCTAACCACACAGCAGGTCTCCCAGTCTAGGACTCCACTGCCAGGTGGATAAGTCTCCATAATTTCTGACTATAAAAGCCAGCAGGGATTGAGGCAGTGGAAGACGGAAACTGTGGGAACCTCAGACAGTTCCTCTTAAAGGGTCCATGCACAGACTTACTCGGATTTACTCCCCCTTTGCTCTAGTGCTAGGGCAGCAGATTAAAAAGCATCAGAGACATATGAGGAGGAGCTGAATTGTCCAGAATCAGGGTGAGACCCGTGGCGCAGCTTTTTCTCAGGCAAAAGTGCTAGAAGAGGCCACTGTTTCCTTTCTGAGCTCTCCTCCCACAGAGCCACAGAACTTGCTGGCAGGCAGGCACTATATCTGAGACTCCATCAACTTGGCTCACACTGTTTGCTCACTCTGATGACTCCTTGAGACCTTGACCCACCCAGCTTTCAGGCCCACCCAAGCTGTTTAGTGGCTTTTCCATAGGAATACCTTGTCTTGGTCCATGATTCAGATATTCCTCAATTCTCTCCCACAAAAATCATCTGGCTAGAGGGAGCCCAGTACCTTTTGTTAAGTTGCCCCAGGTCTTGACTCCCAGCTTGGCCTCTTCTGGGCACCTCCGAGCCCAGCAAAAGCAGCAGCCATCTGCAGAATGTTTTGTAGCTTATGCTGTATGACCCTCGACAGAACACCATCGGTGGCTGACCTTGGACATGCAAACATCAATCAGGACTCAACTACAAAGGGAGAGTATACACAGCCTACACAGTGGGCAAACTTTGAATACACAGCTTGGGTATAGGGAAAGCTGTGCCACTGGACCCTACAGGACACCTACTACATTAGGCCACTCTATCAAGCATGGGAGACCTAGCAGTTCTACCTAATACATGGAAACAAACAAAGGGAAGCTGCCAAAATGAGCAGACAAAGAAACATGGACCGAATGAAAGAACAGAACAAAACTCCAAAAAAAGAACTAAACAAAATGGAGACAAGCAATCTATTAGATGCAGAGTTCAAAACACTAGTTATAAGGATGCTCAAGGAATTTAGTGAATACCTCGGCAACATAAAAAAGATCCAGTCAGAAATGAAAGATACACTAATTGAAATGAAGAACAATTTATAGGGAATCAACAGTAAAGTAGATGAAACCAAGGATCAAATCAGTGGTTTGGAATATAAGGAAGCAAAAAATAACTAGTCAGAACATCAAGAACAAAAAAGAACTAAAAAAAGGATATAGTATAAGGGGCTTCTGGGACAACTTCAGGTATACCAACATTCTCATCATAGTAGTGCCAGAAGAAGAAGAGAAAAAGCAAGAAATTGGAAACCTATTTGAAAAAATAATGACAGAAAATTCCCCTAACTTGGTAAAGGAAATTGGCATACATGTACAGGAAGCACAGAGAGTCCCAAATAAGGTGAACCCAAAGAAGCCCACACCAAGACACATCATAATTAAAATGCCAAAGGTTAAATATAAAAAGAGAATCTTAAAAGCAACAAGAGAAAAGCAGTTAGTTACCTTACAAGGGTGCTCCCATAAGACTGTCAGCTGATTTTTCAAAGGAAACTTTGCAGGCTAGAAGGGATTGGCAAGGAATATTCAAAGTGATGAAAAACAATGACCTACAATCAAGATTACTCTACCCAGCAAAACTATCATTTAGAACTGAAGGATAGATATAGAGCTTCCCAGACACAAAAAAGGAAAGGAGTTTATCATCTCCAAACCAGTATTGTATGAAACGTTAAAGGGTCTTCTTTAAGAAGAAAAAGATGAAAAATGTGAGCAATAAAATGGCAATAAGTACATATTTATCAACAATCAAATCTAGGAAACAAAATAAACAAGCAAGCAGAACAGAAACATAATCATAGATACAGAAAATGTTTTGATGGTTGCCAGATGAGGAGGGTTGGCAGGATGGGTTAAAAAGGTGAAGAAATTAGGAAGTACAAATTGGTGGTTACAGAATAGTAATGTGGATATAAAGTACAGCATAGCAAATAGAATATCCAAAGAATACATATGTATGACCTATGGACATAGACAACAGCATGGGAATTGTCTGAGGGAGTTGGGGGCTGGGTGGAGAAGGACAAAAGGGGAAAATTGGGACAACTGTGATAACATAAATAATAAAGTATAATTAAAAAGCAACTATACCCACACACACACACATTTGATCTGTTGAATATATCAAAGAGCTGCCATTTTTAGGGTTTTATTTTTTGTATTTATTTCTGATTCATGATTCATTTGGCATTTTGGTGAATGATTTAATGTAGACATCTAATTTTATCTTTTTACAGTATGCATACAACGTTACCTTTTTCCAAATGGTTATCTACTTCAATAAAATTT